CACACCCTCTGCCACCCCAGCTCTGGGCTCTTCCCCCCGCCACTCCTGCTGCTGCCCCAGCTCTGGCCCCCACCCGCACCCCCTGCTGCCCCAGCTCTGGGCTCTCCCCCAGAGGAAGAATTGGGTGAACTAAATGGACAGTGCCCCTCTCTATCTGAAGCCTAGCAAGGGAGGTACATGGATCCCACTAGAATTTAAAATGAAAAGTAAGGAAGGGGAGCTCTACTAGACTGGGCAGCTTTAGATACAGTACCAGGCACGTAGGAGGATTTACACTTCTGAGCCATGGAAGCAGAAATTGACTTTTCTTTTCCAGATTTGAACACCCTCAAAATTCAGGAGTGCTCAAGCTCAATTAGGGCAGCTGTTACTTCATTTCTCCCAAATCAAATATACTGATCCACTGTAACTTGCTGTAGAAAAAGTAGAATAAATTGAGCAAGAAATGCTTCCCAGTGGTTATTAGGACTGGGATTTCTATTTTCAACAGCCATTGCCTTTTTTTTTAGTTTTAGTTTTATTTGTTTAAAAGGAAGACCGTGATATTGCATTGGCAAATTCCCCATAGAAACAAAGAATGGAACAAAAGAATAATAAAGGCACCTCAACTTTTCCTCATTTATGTAGGACAGTTATAATATGCATCCCGATATCCTCTAATCACACAAGCTGAAAATTGTTCCATTTTACTGCAGTTCTGTAACCATATGGGAACCAATCCTGTCTGTATTCTGTGCACATCCAAAATTCCTGCTGAATGACCCGCCCTGGGAGCAAGTTACCAGTGACCCGGGGCTGGGGCGGCAGGAGGGTGCAGTTGGGGACCCGGGGGAGAGCCCAGGGCTGGGGTGGGGGGCAGCCAAAACAATTTTTGCTTGGGGCAGCAAAAAACCTAGAGCCGGCCCTGTATGCTAGGGGTAGATTTCCCACAATACTGTACCTGCTCAAGGTCAGGGACAGAAGGCTAGTGACTGCCCTTAATCTAAAGGGAAAGCCTCTGCCCTGATGTACAGTACCCTGCCTATGTGAAGGGGAGACATCTGCTATGGATAGTTAGCATCAGACAGTTGCTTCCAACCAGTAAGCTGGTTCAGTAGGACACAGGGTATGTTAGGAATTCATTGATTTAGTGCCTTTATAAAAGTTAGAAAGCTGCTAAATATTAATGCATAAGCCCATGACATCACCTAGCCCCATTTAAACAAAAAAACATCCTCCCATTAAAGGCAGATGACTAAACAGTATTAAATGTATCATGGTCTTCAATTGCAATCTACTGGTAGGAGAGCAGCAGTACAGAGTACAAAAGTGAGAACTAAGAATTTCTCAGTTCTCATCCTGGCTTCCCTCCTAACCTCTGGGCAAGTTAGCTAGAGCCAGCTTCTCAAAAGTAAACAGTAATTTGGGGGACTACCATTTTTGAGAGCCCAACCTGAGACACCCCTTAAAGGGACCTGATTTTCAGAAAGTGCTGAGCATCCACCCTCTGACAATCAAAAGCTATAAAAGTGTTGAGTTGGGTGCCCCAAATCACTGGTCAGCTTTGAATATGTAGGTGTTAGAGTCCAGTTCTGTATTCATCCAAGTTAGGGCAAAGCTTCTGTTGACTTCATCCATTCTGCTTGAATTTCCCTATGTCTAGCATGGGATTAAATTTCTCTTCTACCTAAGAGGAAACTTGTACTGGTGTCTTAAAAGCATTGTAGGCAAGCCCATGTAGACACTTACCTTGGTTTAAAAGCACCTTCTATCTATAAGGTTATGCCAGTTCCTTACCAACTTAAACTACAATTAAACAAAAGCCTTCGGTATGGTAAGGTCCACAGAGCCATTGGACTGAGACATTCCCATCTGCTTGAAGCTTGGGGCAGAATCAGACCTGTCAGGCACTGGCAGTAGGCTGCATCTAACCTCCTGAAGTTCCTGCTAATTTTATCTGCCTCACCAGCAGTCAGCAACTCAGCCACACCTCCCTGCTGTAGCAGTTTATGGAGGAGAATTTCACACTTCTCCCTAATAACAATTTGGTCCTAGCTATCTCTGCCTTTTGATGACATTGTCCTCACAGTTCCACTTGCCCTTCTCTGAGGTATGTGCTGCTTCAAGGATGGATCTAGGCTAGAAAAGCTAGAATCAAAAGAAAGGTCTGTCTCTCCTTGGGGAGCTCAACCAGCTCTGGGGTCAGGCTGCTGCTGCTCACAGGAAAGTAGCCAGACAGGATTGGAAAAACTGCCTCTAGGCACGAACAGACCATTTCCATGAGGGAAGTGTGTCAGATGGAAGTTCATGCCTAAGTCCCTAGAGCCTTCACTCCTGCCTGTGGAGCTCAGTTGCCATCTCCAGCCACGGATGGAGGACACAGCCTGAGGCTTTCAAGGTCAGCTCTCTCTCCTGATATCACCTCTTCACAGACCTTTCAGCTGATCTCTAGTGATATCCCAGGCTGCGACCTCCACCGAAAGAGCAGCCCAAGTGGATTCCATGCACAAGAGAAGGCAGAGAGTTGAGGGAGCTCAATCTTGAAGCCCCAACCAGTGCCTTCCTTGAGAAACCCATGCCGAGGAGGGGAGACAATAAACCCAGCCTCTTTGAGGACAGGGTGATAACTAGTCACTTGAAATATTTTTCGACCATTCTCTGAAGCAGAATTATGGGGACAAACTCCCCAAAAGGAGCTAAATGAATTAATAAAATCAGCATCCAGCTCCCATCCTCAGCTTCACAGAATGCAGCCTGGCAGCTCAGTGCTGGGGAAAAAACCAGGCCAGAGCTAGCTACTGACTCCACTAGGCATGCACAGACCCCCAAAATGGGATTCCTCAGGGAAAGAGGGCAGCTGTCCAACCCAGAGTTAGTGTTTTAATATATATTATTTGATCAAATATATACCCCCATCAGGCAAAGGACTGTGAAACCACACTTAGGAGGCCTGCAGCCACCCTAGACAAGCTATAGCTATATATCCCTTTTTGTACTCGTGAAGGTGGAACAAAAGGATTTTCTACCATACCTAAATGACAGGAAAAGTGTTGGGCTGTCCTTCCCTGCTGCTGTGGGTCACTATTCCCTAGTGTGCAGGTTATTGCCCTCAGCTTCTGTTGCGGATTGCCATGCTTCATCTCAGCT